ATAGAAAAAGTTAATAGTTTTTCAACGAAAAGTAATTATATTATTCGAGCTAAAAGTCAAGGATTTGATGAAATGGGAATCTCGAATATTGGAATCACATTTAATAATAATTCAGAAAATTGGAGATTTAATCGTAATTTCTTGTCTCAAACTATAATGACTATTTCATTCCTAAAGAATATTGTATCCGCATTTGAAGAGTCTTCTAATGAAATGGGAGATTTTTGGAAGAAGTTGGAAAAGCAACAAAAAAATACTGTTTTCGAATTTCCAGAATGGATTACCAGATATGCCACTGATAATACAGCATCCACGGCTACTGGTAAACGTTCATTTACTGTGGCAGGTTATTTTAATCAATTGACAAAAATCAATGACATGAAAATTGATTATTCTGAACATGAATTGAAAGAAACTGAGGAATTTTTAAAGAGATTAAAACTATGGTTGACATCCGTTAATTTCTTTTATTTGGTACCATCATTTATGCGACATTATATACCCGGTTTAATTCAGTATCAAAAATATTTTCTCAAAAATATTGATTGGATAGATCAATATTTAAGAAAATTTATTAGAATACGACAAGAAGAAATTAAGAATACACCCAAAGAACAAGAATTAAATCCTGACATATTAACATTATTGATTACAGCTCATACTGATAGAGATACGGAAAAGATTCGATATATTCAAAGCAGCAATAGACCGTTGACTGAAGAAGAAATACGATTTATTATATTTGAAGTTCTAGCTGGTGGCATTGAAACGGTATGAATTTATCATTTCATTGTTTTTTTTTTTTTTATAATAAAGTAAAAACTAATTATAAAATATTATTATAAAGACTTCACATTCTTTTTGCTTTATTACATATTACGTATGTAAACACCCGGAAGTTAAAAAACGTATGATTCAAGAAATTGATTCTGTATTTGGGAACGATCGAACACGTAAAATCACTTACGAAGATATATCCAAACTTGAGTACTGTAATGCAATTGTAAAAGAATCACTCAGACTAATGCCTCCAGTACCTTCGGTATTTCGAATGGCCTCTAAAGATGACGAAGTAGCTGGTATGAAATGGAAAGCCGGTCAAACCTTTTTCGTACATATGCACGCAATCCAATTGA